TAAAAATTCGCCACAATAGCGGCTGCCTCGTGTGAGGGAATATTGTGACGCCCAGGAAACGATGCCGGGTTGAATTCCTGCGGCGGTGTGGAGGGTGCCAACCGGGTAGTCGCAGCATTGTTCGCACACTCAGGCCTGAATAAGCAAATGTGTGGTCGGTGTGCAACATGAGTCCACGGGGTGGCACGTTGCTTGAGGTGTGCGCGAGGCCACAGATAAGCGGAGATGGGATGGACTGTACCTCACCGGACAAATTCGCGTGGCAACCAACGACCGCTCTCACACTCCCAGATCCGCCACAGTTGAAGGGCTGCCGATAGGCCGCCAGTTTTATCCTCCGGGTCCTCCTGGCAGGCGCCGTTCTCAACGGCATAGCATTGTTTCTGCCTGCCTCTGGTCAATGGCACGCATCAAAAACCGGGGAGGCGGCTGGGGCACCGAAATACAGGATGGATATAAGGGGCGGCAGCTATGACGACCATGCATCATGCAGGGCGAATGTGTTGACGCTCCAACGGAGGATCAAAGCGGCAAGTGAGGAGAACAGGTGAGAGATAGCAGGGGCAAGATTGCCCCTTGTGAGGGTGCCCATGGCAACCTGAGAGGATTCGGTGCCTCCTGCATCGTCTCCGAAGTTTCCAAACATCGGCAGCGACCACGGGGGCCCCAGGGCCCCTAAATGTGTTAGGCCCTTTAAGGCGATTGGGGCGATTGAGTGTACTTGGGCGCACAATCTCGCGGCACAATGTTCCAGGACACAAATTTGCAAGTATGGAGCCAGGTGGTTGATTGATGGGCAACATTGAACTGGCAATGGGCGGCGGCCGCCTATGACGTTGCCCATGCGCCTTGAACCGGTTTGTGAGAGGCACTTGCCGATCTTCTACCTTGCACAATCCCTCTTAGGCCGCTGTGACCCCTTCTTCACTAACCACTGTTCGGGTCGCCAATTAATAGGCCTCATCAAGAAGTTGGTAAATTAATGAGATCATTCGGCTGGCGACCCGTGAGGCCCAGATATGGTGTAGAGGGGATGTCGGCAGCCTCAGAACCTTCGCCATACTGATGATCATCTAGTAGGTTGGCGCTCAATGAGGCAGAAACCCCAAAACGTCAATCAGGGATGCTCCATAATTTTCTCGCAATCCAAGCCCAAGGCACTCAGAATGCAAAGAGATGACTTGAGTGACAAAGAGAGACCATGGAAGCCTCACTACGTGACCAAAAAACCTAAAGCAATACAGTTGTGATGCCGGACAGAGCTCCAGTACATGGCAGCGCACGTCAAGGGCACACCGGTGTCAGACGCATTTGGAAAACACCGTGAAGTACTGAGAAGCACGCAGGTCGCTGTTGGGCACGTGCGTTTGCTTTGGCAAGGTATACAGCCGTGCATGAATGGGAGCATTAGTCGTAGAAAGGCTTGGCGAGTCGGGCTGCGTCGGTATTTCCCAGCAATGCCCGTTGATCGAGCCGGGATGGCCGTGGCTGGCCATGGTGCTGCCGATGGGGGATGGCAGGCACACGGCCGAATCGCCGATTGAGACGGATCGACGTTGAAGGTGCTGGGGGGTTTTCTGGCGAACAGGCAGACCTTTCAACCTAAGTGGTCGGCTGTGTGGCGGAGCGCCGTGAGTTTGAGCGAGCGTGGGCGCCGTGGATGTGCGGAACGGGAGGTTGCAGGGCTGATGCGAGAAGCATGCAATGTACTGCGGCTGGATTTGTCATCCTGGCATGGTGCTGGAGAATTCTGGCGTCCTGTGGTATGCAAGCTGCTCAGAAATGTGCCCCTAGGTCAGAGCAAGATGATTTGACACGGAAGGCTGGGTGCCATCAGTCAGAAAAGTGGACTTGTGAAAGTTGATGGAATCTGGATTTGAAAGGATCAATCAGTTGCAAGGCAAACTTGTTAAAGAAATCGTTTGCGAAAGATTTAACCTCAAACGGATCTTTAGTGAGCAAGATATGGCATTTTATGTGCGACGGAGCCGTTTTGGATGGAGCGGTGTTGCCCCCTGTGCGACCTGCCATAGGGCGCTGTGGGACAGGGTCAGGAGGAGCGCGTGGAGGCGCCACGTGGTTGTTTGATGGGAATATGCCCCGTGGGGCATTACGTGGTTGCTGACCGCGGGGAGTGTGGTTGTCTGATGGGAATGTGGCCCTTGGGGCATCACGTGGTGGCTGATTGCGGGCAGTGGGGCGTAGCGGGTTGAGCTGCGGTGAAACCACGGGCGTGGCAGAAAGATTCCGCGTATCAAAACAGCGTCTCTTAGGAATGCTGGGTATTTCCCAGAACTTTGGGTGTTACAAGTACTGAGGACGCGGCGAAAGCTGGGGGAACTCTGTATTGTTGCACTCGGCCCGGCAGCTGTAAGAACGGTTGCGTGGCCTTCGCGTGTGCCTCAGCCTGACCGCCTGACTCCCCTGGCCGTGTGCACAACGTTCGCCACAGCCTGAGCGCAATAGCGCTCGACCTTTTCGAAGTCGCGGCCAGTCTGTGCCTTTTCTGAGCCGCTTTCCTTGCCGTTCAAGACCAGCACTGCCAGCGCGCTCGTGCTGCTGGTCAACAGTGACCACCCTTCGCCGCTGCACAGCTTCGTTGAGGCGGAAAGAAGCATCTTTCGTGTATTGTGTCGCCACGCTGCGGACAAGGCTGCCCCAGCGCGTGGGGCTGACCTGTGCCCTGACCTCGCTGAACTTTGGAAGTGACTGCGACCGGTTGTGGCCCTCTGGGGGGCAGTTGTGAGAGGTTCCACGCTTGGCGTTCAGTTGGATGTTTGCCGTTCGTCTGAAGCTTCCCTTCCCGCCGTTGCTATTTCTGTTCGTTGTCATCGCCGCGACAAGCAGTTCTTCGTGAAGAGCCGGTTCGCACGAGGGGCGAAGCTTGTTCGTTGAATGCACCCTCAACGGGCGTGGTGCTGAAGCTGTCGACGTGGCTCAGCTGCTCGTTCAGGTGCGATTAGACTGCGCTATCTCCGGGGATGACGGCTAGAATGGACCGCCGTTCTTTGCGCCAGGGTTTCGCAAGCCATCGGCGACACTCGCCGATCTGCAACAAGCTGCATGCTGTTGGAGTACCGAGCGAATTCACGCTAGGGGCCTGAAGCCAATGGTGGGCACAAATGAACGTGTTTTTCACGTTTCCATTCCGTTTGGGCCCAAACGCCAACGTAACGGGAGTCACACGTTTACGGTCTCGTCTAAAATCTCCAGACGTACTCCATACGTTTGCGCTCCCGTCTTGAAAGTCCGAACATGGGACACACGTTTGAGTTCCCGCTTCAAAGGTCCAAACGTACAACGCACGTTTGCGTTCCGGTTTTGACAGTTCAAACGTATGATGTACCTTTGCCTTTTGTTTGCCACCCAAGTACACTCGTTTTGCTGTCGTGTGTACTTCACAGCTATTTTCTTGCTTCCGCACTGGTCCAGTACTATATGGTTTTATCGATGCCTCTGAGTTAGTTTTTCCATTTAGTTGGGATTGGCTTGTCGGTTCTGCAAGCCTACCAATTGAACAACCCCCTGTTCGGCCAAGCCGACCCTCGTGCGTACACCCAAACGACCCGGTTGCCTGGTGCACGGGTCACAGGGCCAGGAAAGGTGGGCGTTGTGTTGGATTCTCTTTTCATTGGAAGCTTGAGAAAACGCAAACGTCTGCCCAACGTCGGCGCTGACGTTTCCTCAACTCAAACCTGCCGCGCACGTTCACAATCCCGTTCTGAAAATCCGGACTTTGGACACACGTTTGCGATTCTGTTTCAAAAACCGAACGTCATGAACTGCACGGAAACTGACGCTGCGCCTCAACCTGCTGGGGCCGGCACGCGTGGGTGAGTGGGTCGTGGTGGTGTGGGGTAGGGTGGGGATGTGGCGGATTGGAAAATCCGACGGCAAGTGAGCACAGAGCCAGAGGCCAGATCCAGTTCTGCAGAAAAGAACAGTATCTCGGAGAGCAGAAGAGGGGAACGTGCTCTTGTCCGTTGTCCCGGTCGGGTTAACACAACCGACGTCGGTTGGTTGTCGTTGGTCGACCACATGCAAACGACGCCAGCCCTCAACCGCTTGCGATACCAGAGCTCCCGCGCCCTCAGGCACACCTTGAGACAGCGTCCATGATTTCGTGCTTGCCGCCAATGATTTGCTGATCGCTGCAGTCCATTTGTGCGAAATTTTCATTGGTTGCTTGTCCGTGCACCCTCGCTGCTGAAGCCCCGCGCAAGTGACACATTCGTTTCTTCTCATCTGATTTCGATTGTCGTGTTCCGCAGCACCACGAATCTCGCCAAGGCTCACTGGCCCTCCTGGCTGGAAGCGGCGGGGACTCTTCAAAGGCTCAAGGCGCCTATGGTCGTGTTCCAGAGTCACGCAATGGCCGATGGCCAAGAAGTACACATGACGCTCAAGAAGATGGCACAGCCCGACAGGTCTGCTCCCCGCAATTTCGTCAACAGGCCCCACGGATACTCCAAATTCATCTTCATGCATTGCGTCCTTGCTGTTGTTTCATGACAGCAGACAGTTTTTTGCGCGGCCTGTGCCTGCCTCAATAAGTGTATTGTGGAGACAATGGCAACGAGAGACTTTGTCCAGAACAGGCCCAGCAGCTTGTGGTGGTGTAGGGCACCACCAGACAGAAGGGAAAGACATGATTCGGGCACCAGCCAATGCCGATATCTTGAGCAGAAACCACTGACAAGAATGGTTCCTGACGAGCCTCCTCCAATAGGAGGTTCCAAACTCCCATCACCAACAAATTGCCCAGCTGCAACTCCTGACACACATAAATTACAATCGCGTTGCCCACATTCATTCGTCCTCTTTCCGGCTCAGTTTCTAACCAGATGCTGCCCTAAGCACAACTTGCCACCAGCCAACACAACTTGCCACCAGCCAATACCCTCCACCACGAACCAGCCAAGTCCAACAGCCAAACTCATTTCTCTCAGTACTCTATCTCGCAAACTGGTCCTCTCATGTCACGATGCACATTCAACATCTCAAGCCACTTCTCGCAAAGCCTTCCATTCTTCTGAGAAGGGGGTGGCACCTCTGTCATGCTGTGAGGCAGTCAGTCCAGCAGGGCCCCTTCTTCCTTGCAATTCCTGGAGAACTTGGGCGGGTGTGTTGTTGACAAAATCCCATTTTCTTCGCAAAGCCTCGCTTTCATGTTGGCGATAAAACGTTCTGTCTCCTGCCCCTGCCTTGCGAGCAGCCATGCACGCCTTTACATAGTCAAAATATGCAGACACAGTGGAGGCGTACTGCTTCTTCCTGTCAATGTCACGTTCAACATCAAAATCTTCGTTGCAGTCCAGCACGAGTGCAGGGATGCTCGAGATCGCTGCCTTCAACTCATTTGGAACATTGTTCTGGTCGTTCAGTGGCTCAGCACTCAGCACACCCTTTCCTCCAAGCCAAATCACAGATCCCTCCAACTCCTTTGGCAGAGCTGGCAGGTCTGGCGGCTCTGGCGCACGCACGATCTGCGCCTCAGAGCCCTGGCTTCTGGGGTACAGAATGCTCCTCGTCTCGATGGCTTCTCGCTTTGGCACCTTCTCCTGGTAGAACCAGTCCTCGTGCTTCACGTGCAGGCCCTCCAGGTAGCTCAAGTCCACGCCCACCTCTTCCCTTCGCGACCTCCGCCTCAGTCTGTCCAGGCAAGTCGATGGGTCCGCACGCAGGTAGATGAACCCATCAGGCACCAGCCCCGGTACTTCGCGTAGGAAGGGCTGGAACCAGGCATCATACAGTTTCAGGTGGAAGTCGTCCATCCACTTCGCCTCATGCACAGCGCGCACAAAAACAAGGCGGTCGCTGAAGACCGAACGCTCCAGAAGCCTCAGGGGTTTTTCCCCATCATAACTCTGGTGGTTCTGCTTCAGTCTTGTGAGGAAGACGTAGTTCTGAAACTCGTAGGCAAACCTCTTTGGGTCGGAATAGTAGCGATCGAGAAAGTTGTAGTTGGCGTCGTCTCCAACTTTCTGCCACATGTCCACAGGTTCATGCACAACCTGTCTTGCAATACACAGCACAATTAGGTTCCACACAAAAACACAGCATATGTAAATGTTTCAGTCTGAAATATTCTCGGAAGGCTCTGTGCCGCATGTCACAGCAAATTGTTTGGCGAAACTTTGCCACGAAACGGTGGACACAAGTTGGCAAGCGAGCAGTGCGATCCATTCTCATGAGCATGGGCCCATTCCTCCTCGACACACGCAAATTCTAGAGGCGATAGCGGGATATAAATTGCATGGCGGCCACGAACGGAAATAGTCTCTGGCTCTTGCCGCCATCCACAAACCAGCCTCGTCACTGAGCGATGCACCAGCAGATAAACTGAGGAAAGCAGAATGAGCAATGTGCAGATGCAGCCCGAAGGCTCGCCCTTCGGGCAGCACCCCCACCGGTGGCGTCCCAAATCCATCGACGAGCCCCACCTCCACAAGGTCCCTGAGCTCCATGGGCGTGTCCAGCAGGTTGCTCAGGAACGTGCTCTTCCCCGCGCTTATGTTCCCCTCCACGCTGAACGTCACGCGCTCCTTGCTGCTGGCGTTGGCTATGTACGACGCGATCGACGCGCAGTGCCCGCGGTGCCGAATGCCCACGTCCTGCCTCAGGAACTCCGTCAGCTTGTCCTCGTCCCGGTCCAACTGCGTTCGGAACATCGAGTTCAGCGCCGGGATGCTGTCTATCCCCTTGGCCATCAGCAGCGCCTCGTTCTTGGGCCCGATTCCGGGCACTTCCCTCAGCCCGGACGACGTACTCACATCCGCACCCCTGCGGGCACCGCCCTTTCCGGCCACCCCCTTGGGGTTGCGCCTCAAACCAGTGGCAAGCGTGGCCACCATTGCCCTTCTTCCAGGCAGCCTTTTCACCGAGGGCCTGCCGGCGATCACGGCAAACGTCCGCGAGCCCTTGAGGCACCCGCCCGCGCCCACGGGGGCCATAAATGGCCCAAACATCCGGACCATGCGCCGCGGGGACGGCAGGATCGGTGCGAAGCGGGGTAGATGCTAGAACCTGCGATGGTAAGCCGGCGGTGGACTTGGCCTGCCCGGGAAGGGCATTTATGGGCGCCGGCGGCGCGCCCTGCGACACCGGCCGCGGCCCCCGCTCCCCAGCGGGCGAGGGTCGTGGCGACCGTGGCCCCTCTGATGACTGGGCAGGGCCGTGGGCGAGATTTGGATATTGGCGGGGAACGGTCCGCGCCGGGGATAAAGTACCGTAGTATTTTGGTGGCCATAGTACGGTAGTACTTTGGCGGCGGTGGGGTGCGATAGTACTTTGGTGGGTGGAGTCCAGTGCGCCCCTTTGTGCGCAGGGAATAAAGTATGCTGGTGCTTGGGTGGCTGTTGTCCGCTGGCCGTGCTAGGAATAAAGTACTAGGATGTTCTGAGGGCAGCAGTTTTAGGAATTGAGGGAAGAGGTCATTACTTCTGTTGCGGAAACGAGCAGCCCAAGTACATCAAGGGCGGTGGGTCCGCGCTTGCGGTCCCCGGTTTGGAACGGTGCCACACGGGCTGGAAGAGGGGCCGAGTTGCAGCCATGGCGCCCAAAGGCAAAGGTGCGAATAGTACCCTCACACCGCCATTGGTTCCAATCAGAGCATCCCCCAGATCGCAGGCCCTGTCTTCCCCTTGCAGGACGTCGATTGTTCGAATCGTCGTGGGCGTAGTGCCAGCTCTCTTTGACGCTCAGTATCATCCCATCTGGCATCCAATGGCGAGGGTATTTCCGAAAAGCTGGCCCCGCGGAGTTGGCTCACCCTCCGTGTGTGAACGGCGTAGGCAAAGATCCCAAGTCGAAGGCGCAGGCCGCCGCCAAGGCCGCGATGCACGGCACGGTAAAGAGGCGGCTCAAGAAGTACACCAGCGTGACCTTCCACAAGCCCAGGACTCTTAAGATGAGGCCGGACCCAAAATACCCGAGGAACAGGTGATGGTCAGACGTCTCGGCGGATGGCTGCCGCCACCCACCTCCTGTCTTGACAGTGGGGCGTTGCCGAGCGTGGGTGAGCAACTCATGTTCGCTGTCGGCGGCGGTCTAGGGCTCAGTCACAGCACCGAAAAGGGATGCGCAAGGCTGTGAATTTCGTCCTACTCTTTGGAGCCCTTCGCCCTCCTGTTCCAGGGCAAATTCAAAATTGATGGAATGCTGAAGACGAAATTGCACTCCTGCCTGCGCACCCCTGTCAGTGGTTTGTTGTTGTTTTGCAGCTATGTCGTGAATAGGCTGTGCAGCTTCCCTATATCCTGGGCACCGACCTTCTAATCCTGGGCTCCCTGTCTGTGCAGCTTGGGGAAGATGCAGAAACTGGACCACTATGCCATACTGCGGTATCCATTGACGACGGAATCGGCCATGAAGAAGATCGAAGAAAACAATACATTGGTAGGCAGCAAGTCCCTAAAGCAGGCATTTGTCAGTCCAATGGTGTTTTTGTTGCTGTGACCGCAGTCTTGGTCGGCCATTATGCAAAGGCCCATTTTGTGGGCTTTCGTGGCAGTCCCTGAGGGGCGACCCTGTGCGCCACGTGTTCAGTTGGCAGGTTCCAGCGCACGACCACCAGTGTGCTGGATGCTGGAGGTCGCTTTTGTCTGTCTTATGCCAAGGCCTTGAATTGCGCAAATGCGTCACCCTGCCTGCAGCCCCAGAATGTGCCAGCTGGGCATTTACATTCGAATATCCCAGGTGGCAAATGTGGTCTGTCGCACCACCTCCACTGCTTGCAACCCTCCAAGAAACGCTGCACAATGATGTGACGTTCTCCACCCGGATTCGTAGGATGGTGACACAAGTATGGGCGTTTCAGCAAGCTATTGGTCGTCACCAACAACTGTCAAATCAATGAGCCAGCTGACACCTTGCGATGCCAGTTGTAGATCCACAGTGTGGACACGTCCTAGGGCAGAGGACATATAGTCCGTATATATTATGCAAGATTGGCCTTCCTGATGCAGTGCACTCACGTGCAGTACCACTGCCAGTCGCAACTGAAGCATGTATTTGTTCGCACTTGGGTGTTGTATACCCGAGGGCATTCACACAGACGCCCCAGGGGAGCAAAGGCGAGTAGAAGGATTGTGGCCACGCCAAAATGACGGATCTCGGCGATTCAGGTGGTGAACGGTATGTGGTGTCGTGCGTTTGTTCCCAGGTCTTCATCGTGGATATCCGAGCAAACAAGAAGCAGATCAGGGATGCCGTGGAGAAGATGTACGACATTCAAACGAAGAAGATCAACACACTGATTCGCCCCGATGGCCAGAAGAAAGCGTACGTCCGACTAACAGCAGAGAATGACGCCCTTGACGTTGCAAACAAGATCGGGATCATCTGAACAGCACGGTGGAAGGACAGATGTTGGCCTGTGTTTGCAAGAGATTGTTGCTGCGTGGACTCCAGTCGAATTGACTGCCGATACACGTGCCGATCGATGCAACTATCAGTCGGTGCCTATGTTATTATATCCCCTCCACAACGGTGTTTGAGCACCTCCCTTGAGAACGGCCACTGGCATTGCAGGCCGACATCACAGCTCCATTGGGTACCTCTCTGTGTGTGACGCACTGTTTCGAGCTCCAATTCACAGTCAGTGGAACTAACTACACAGGCGCCACACAAAATATGCCAAGCCGAAATGCGGCGCTAAAAGGGGCCCCGACGCTATTCAGAATACGATGTTGGACCGCAGCTGTGCGTATTTCGGCAGCAAAAGGAATACATCCATGGCTGCGCCTTGGGTCTATACTGTCCGGGATTGGGAAGTGTGTGGCACATACTAATGTTGTGGCACATCGATTGGAGCTCCAGGAACCCCAGCTCCTCACCAAACACGACAACGGTTTAACTTGTGCCCAGATGATTGTTGCAACAGCCAGCTGCGTTCCTGCCAGAACATCAGTTGGTGCATGTGTTTCGGCAACTTGCATTTCAGTTCGCTGTGGCACGGACTGGACAACAGTCTTCGAGAGCCCGAGGCAAAATTTTAAACGGATGAAAGACACACGGCGCAACAAAATCTAAAAATCTCCTCACCCCTCAAGCAGGAAAATGTCCCACCCTGCCAAGACACAACAAACTAACCAAGCACTGCCCAGCGCCCTGAGTGTTCCCAAGCCTCTTAAGGACAGAGCACCAGCGCCATTGAGGTCTTGCACAACGTTCGCCGTCTTGTGGCAGCACCTCGGACGTCTTCCAGACGCCCATGCGTCACAATTTCTCACTCAGGTGGGCTTAGCTCCAGCGGCAGGCAGGCGGTTGGCACTCTCCAGGTGCCCGCTCTCAGCTCCTGCAGATGGGTCAATATCAATGTTGATCAGCGAAGGACCCCCGCACTTGAAAGCCTCCTTGCAGGCCGCATCCAGTCCAGAGGCATCGCTCACATGGAAGCCCCTCCCTCCAAAGGCCTCCATCACGAGCTCATATTTGGCGCCAGGCACAAACGCTGTGGGGGCTGGGTCCCTATCCACCCAGCTGTCCTCCACGCCATCGGCATTGGCATTCTTGCGGCGGTCCCCACCATACACACCGCCATTGTTGAAGACAAGGATACAAACGCTGAGCTTAAACCTGCAAATGGTTTCGCATTCCAAGCCACTGAAACCGAAGGCAGAGTCGCCCTCGCAGGCCACAACCAGCCGCTCTGGATTGCACAATGCTGCCGCCACAGCATAGCCCAGCCCAAGACCCATCGTGCCATGTGTGCCTGCATCGAGCCGCGAGCGAGGCGTTTCGTGCGAAAGGACTGTCCTTGAAAAGTCCATCGTGTTTGCGCCTTCTGATACAATTACAGGATCGATGTGGAGACTGTGCAGGCTTCGCCGGATCACCCCCAGTGCCGTGTAGAAATCCAAAGGGTACTTTTCGACAAGCAGCTTTGCGTTCAAGGACTCTGTTCTCGTAGCTGCAAGTTGTGCAAGCTTGTCCTGCCACTCTTTCCACTGTGGCATCGCTTCCGATCCAGATGCAGACCATTGCGTCAGCAGCTGCCCACAAACCGTGGCCGCGTCACCATTGAGCGCCACCTGCGGTTGCCGGAGTTCTAGCTCGTCGGTGCTTACATCCACAAGGATGAACTTACAGTTCGCATCCCACCGCGGCGGTTCCCCATAGTGCAGCATCCAGTTCAGCCTTGCACCAACAACAAGGGCAACGTCGCACTCTCGGAGTGCTGCGCTTCGAGCAGCTCCCACGTAAAGAGGGCTGGAGTCCGGAACTACTCCACGCCCCATTGGCGTTGGGAGGAAGGGCAGCGCAAGCTGATCCACAAGCGCACGCAAACTTTCTTCTGCCTGTGAGAGCGCAGCGCCCTTGCCAATGACAAGCAACGGGCGCCTGCCTTGCTTCAGCAGCTCGACAGCACTTTTGACGTCTTTGAGACTTGCGGAACCTCGCATCGCATGGGTCTTCAATATGACAGGCTCACGGGATGGCTTCGTTGCTGGCTGCATCAAAACGTCAGCAGGCACGTCCACATAAACGGCTCCTGGGCAGCCTGTAACGGCTTCCTTCACTACTTTGAGAAGAGCCCCACGAACGTCGACACCCAGTGACAGTTTCACCAGCGCTTTGCAAAAGGGCCGCGCCGCCTGCATCTGATCGCACTCCTGGAAACCCCCCTTGCCCACATTCTGAGTTGAAGTGGACCCCGCCAACATTATCAACGGCCACCTGTTTGCTTGTGCATGGTTCAGGGCTGCAAGGCCATTGACTGCGCCTGGACCTGACACAGTGAGCAGCACTGCTGGCGTGCCAGTGAGATAGCCACAGCACGCTGCAGCAAAGCCAGCTGCCTGCTCGTTCCGAAAGCCAACAAAGCGGATTCCCGCAGCCTGGGCCGCAGTTGCTAGCGGAGTCACAGGAATGCCAACGACGCCGAACATATAGCGAATGCCAAAGGCTGCTAGGCTCTGTGCAATGGCCACATAGCCGAGCGATTGGAGCTGTGGCCTCCCTGCAACTGGCTCACCTTGTGATGAGAAATGCTTGGCGACATGTCGGCGCTGTATCTTGCCTGTGGCCGTCCGTGGCAGCTCGGTGGCGATGAAGAGCTTCTTTGGCAACTTCATGGCTGCCAGGTGCTCTCCCACATAGGAGATGATCTCTTCACTGGTTGCTGCGCAGTCGGGTTTGAGGACAACAGCAGCATTCACCTCCTCCCCATACTTTTCATCTGGGACCCCAAACGCGACAGCCTCTCCAATCGCTGGGTGGCGCAACAGTGCGGCATCCACCTCAAGTGGAGAGATCTTCTCTCCCCCACGGTTGATTAGCTCCTTGATGCGACCCGTTAGAGTAAGGTAGCCGTCTTCACTGAGGTGCCCCTGATCGCCGGTGTGGAACCAGCCACCAGCGAAGCCATCCTCATTCGCTTTTGGGTTGTTCACGTAGCCCTTGGTTACATTTTCTCCCCGAATGCAGACCTCGCCCACCGTGCCCGCAGGCACCAATTGATTTTGGGCATCGAGAATCGCAACCTCGACATTGACCCCCCTGTGCAGGCGCACAGAGGCTCAGATCCCACCCCAGCCACCCAGTTCTGGGGAAGCCATCGATGCACAGGCAACGTCCCACGTGGAACAGTCATCAGCAGCCAGGCCAGTGGTCCAGGCATTCGATGTGCCCTGCTCAGTTGGCAATGAATCCCGACCAGCATTTGCGCCTAGAAACGCGTAAACGAAAGGGCACACAAGCGCGGCCAGGAAGGGCACAACTTAACTTGACGGCCCGCGCAACGCAAGCGCCGCGCTCACCTGCCCACTGTGCCCGCTCGATGGTCCCCATACTTCGGCAATGGATTGGACGTCATTTGGTGCGCGGCCTCGGTCATGGCGTACGCCTCGAGCACCGGCGCGCCGAACCTGCTCTCCAGCCGCTCCAGCACCGCCGGCGCCAGCGCCGCGGAGCAGCTCCGGATGAACCGCAGCCTGGGCGGGTTGTCCGCCGGGTAGTCCTGCTCTGCACGCATCAGCAGGATCTGGTGGATGGTGGGCACGGCGGTGTACCAAGTCACCCCGTTGGCCACCACGTCCCTCCAGAAGCTGCTGGCCGAGAACTTGCCACCCTCCGGCAGCACCACAGTCCCGCCGGCCGCCAGGCTCGTCAGCAGGCCCGCCATCATGCCATGCACGTGGAACATGGGCATCACCAGCAGCGTGGTGTCCGCGTCGCAGAGGTCGTAAGTCGCGGCGATGTTGCGCAGGGACGCCGCCACGTTGGCCTGCGTCAGGGGCACCAGCTTGGGCCGCGCCGTGGTGCCGCTGGTGTGCAGCAGCACCGCAACGTCCTCCGGCTCCGCCACCTCCTCCCCACATCCACTCGTCGTGTCCCCTTCAGGCGCCATCCTTGGACAGATCTCCTCGAGAGTCAATTTTTCTGCTCCGGGTGGAAAATCTGGCCGCCAAACGCCCAGGCCCAGACTCTTGGCCGCGGCCTCCGCGTCCGGGCATCCCCCGGATGGCAGCACTACCCCCACGGCGCCCGCGTCGCTCATCTCGAAATCGAACTCCGCCTGCTTGAGCGACGGGTTGAGCGGGGCCACCGCGATCCCCGCGGAGAGTGCCCCGATGAAAATGCATGCCGCCTCTGCGCAATTGGGCGCCACGGCCGCCACGACGTCGCCCCTGCGCAGGCCGATCGAATGCAATGCGGCTGCCCCGGCCTCGCACAGCGTGTGCGTCGTCCACGGGGGGCCGCCGCCGGGAGGCACCAGCTTGCCGCCACCGCGCTTCACGGCGCCGCCGGCGGTCGCCATGGTCGCGAGCGGTGGTGTCTCAGGGGCGACGCGCCTCGGGCTCCGCCACACGCTGTCGGCGTTGGAGCAGGTCGCCTGCCCGCCGCTTTTGGCGCCAGTCGTCTTGTGTGACTCATCTTGTGGTCTACGCAGCGGCAATGGCATCGTCACCATCATCGGGGGCATTGTGCAGTTTGTCGCGCAGGCTGGCGGACGGGCACCCAGAACTGCCCACAGCAGCCCGTTCTGGTGACTTTTTTCGCCTGCCGTGGCCGGTTGCTGCTGGCAGTGCGCACCCCAGCGGCCTCGCGAGGCACTGGGTGGCACCCGTTCGTGCTCGGGCGCAGTCCGCTGGAGCACACGTCCTGTTCCTGATCCTGCGCGGGAGGCGCCACGGCACAGGTGCGCGGGGCACGCGTGTTTCTTCCCGTTGTCTTTTTGATGCGGTCGCTGGTGGGCTCGTGCAAGTGATCTTTGGCGCCTCTGTGTCGCGAGCGGACCGCGCCTCACCGCGCATGCGGCCCCGGCTCCCCTCCGTCCATGCAACAACGACTTTGACGCCGGTTCCGACCTCCTTCCTCGGTTTTCGCGCATCGCCTTGCCCCTGTGGCAAGGCATGAAATTTCGGGATGTGTGGATGCCCGAGCGCTGGATACCCGGGGGCATTCGGTTTGCTCATTTTCCGGTGGGTCAGTGTCTGGCTGTTGCACCAGTAGGAACCTGCAGTTCGCGTTTGCCTTGCTGGCTTCTGCCGGCACGCCGCGAGGCAGGCTTCGCCGTTACTGAGCCTCCGATTGACGTGGGGGCCGTGCAACTGATCAGGACCCGTGTGGGCAGCCCGGGCGGGTGCATTTGCCTTTCGAAGGATCCCAAGTGTTCTGGGAAGCTGCGTGCATGGCGACTGAGTGCCGTGTGCCCTGCAGTGCCAGCAATGGCGGATGAGGAGATGTTCGCCGATCTTCTGTCCGGCTTCCAGCCGGCAAGGAAGCCGGAGGAGGAGGAGCCGCCCATGCCATCGATGAACCAAGTTCGCAAGGGCAAGAGCGACGCCTGCATCACGGTTCAGCAGTCGTCTGAACACATTGGGCAGAAGATGCCTCCCCTGATTCAGCCCCTGAAGAGGGATGAGGTGGAGCGGATCGTGCGGGATGTCACGAGAAAGGTTATGTTCGAGAGCCTGGGGGCTCTGACCAGCACGCTTAGGACGTGCCTGGGGGACTTGTCCGAGCGGCTGGGCAGGGTGGAAGAGGAGTGCAAACAGGTGAAGGCCGCGGTGGAGGTGTCCCGCGGGGACGCCACACAGGGGAGCGGGAGCGCGATTCTCAAACTGGACGGCCTGGCCGTGGCGGTGAGGGACCAGGGCCTGCACCTGCAGCGCGTGCTTGACAAGCAGGAGTTGGTTGATGCGCACATGATGCTGGCCAACCTTCAACAGGAGAAAGGGGGTGGCAAGGAAGCGAAGAAGGAGTGCAAGGATGCTGGCGAGAGTGCTGACCACAAGGAGCGTATATCTGTGAAGACTGGCAAGAAAGATGCACCATCCAACGAGCAGCCCAATCCTCCAGCGCAACCTGTGACTCCACCGTCGTCTGTTCCATCTGCAGCCGGAAGTCAGCCAGTTGCCAAGGTGGTGCAGCAGCAGCAGTCGTCGCAGCCAGCCACCCAATCTGTTCCCCAGCCGGTTGCCCAGCCAGTTGCCAAGCCGGTGGTCCAGCCAGTCGCCCAGGCGGTGGCCCAGCCGGTAGCCCAGCCTGTGGCCCAGCTGCCTGCCCAGCCAGTGGCCCAACCAGTGGCCCAACCAGCGGCCCAGCCGGTGGCCCAGCCAGTGGCCCAGCCGGTGGCCCAACCAGTGCAAAAGACAGTGGCCCCCCCACCTCAACACCAGCCGGCCTCGCCCCACGTCGCTGCCCCAGCCCCCGTCCATCCCCCTCCCCAGCATGCACCTCAGCAGGCCATGCAAACACCGGTGGCGCAGATGCCGCCCCCACCACCTCCTCCAGCTCCGGTGTATGGAGCGCCTTCTGCTGGGCCCATGCAGGCTGCCCCTCCGCTTGCCCACCAGCAGATGCCAGCGTCATTCCCGCCACAGGTTTCTCAACAGATGGGCATGCCTGCATCTGGACCACCGCAAATGCAGCCTCCCCCTCAAGTTGGCCCCCCGCGTGGGTCCCCCCAGATATACCAGTCCCCGTCCATCTCTCAACATCAGCGCATGCCCCAAGCAACCCCACAGCAGATGGGCCTTCCAGCAGGAGCCTTGCCGCTTCAGCATGGATATTCGCTTGGCATGCCACCCCCACAGCCAACCCCAGGACCTCCGCAGGAGCCTTCACAATTTTCGATGCCCCTGACGTCAGCGCGCTCTGGAGGAGCTCCCGCCTATCCCCAGCTAAACGCGGGAATGGGCAGGACAGGGATGGCACCTCCCCTTTCTGGCCGGCCTGGCTTGGGGATCGGGCAAGGGCAGCCACCGCCAATGGGAGGCCCACCAGGTGGACCTCCTGGGAGCCAATTCGAGGCCAGGACAACCACTCAGTCCGTTCCTCTGGAACAGGTGATAAACGATGTTACTGCCATGGGCTTTGATCGCACCCGGGTGAGGTCAATCGTAACAGACATGGTGAACCAAGGGAAGTCTGTGGACTTGAACGTTGTCTTGGACACACTCACCAGGTTCTGAATGGTGCGTGGAGGCAGGAGCAACAGTGCACTTGTGCTACTGCACAGCGAGGGTTGCGGTGCTGTGGAAGTGGCTGGGTGCCATGGGGGTTGGGTTGGACTGGTGCTGCTGGACTGACTGTGATTGGTGGTGTGCAGTGAAGTGTATCAGCAGCGCATCGTGTTTGCAAGCTGGAAGGATGTGGGTGTGCGAGAATAAGGAGCAAACACTGCCCTCTGTTGCACTAGACATGAACCTTTGTGATGCTTTGCAGCTCGTAGGATCTGACTGTTGAACACATTCAACCAAAGCGTGCCAGGTGCTGCTGATCACAGTGACGTTGGAGCCCTGGTGGTGCTGTTCCATAATTTACTTGTGGAGCGCCAACAACCCACGACTCCGAACTGTGTGGTTGCATTCGAGGTGCTGCCCGGGCTGTCCAGCAGTTTTCCAGCATTCTGGTCAGCCCCGCAAGTGCTACTGCGCTGTTTTCCGTGGGATGAACGTGAATCATATCATTTATCCATGTTCGGAATGCGCTCGCACGCCCTGGCCACCGACCTTGGCGTGCAGCACGACCTCGATTGCCACGGTTGCCGAATAGTTCGGCCGTCTTGCACCACGACGAGTGTTAATTTGCGCACGCAAATGAACACACTGACGCATGCTGCGTTGATGTCAAGTAAAACATTGTAGGCCTTTAGTTGCTCGGTTTTCGAGCTCTTGTGGAATCTTGTTGTCCCCGCCATTCCGCTGCTCAGATCAACCCAATGCTTCCACCAGCACGCCGATAGAGGGCAACTCAGTGACCCCTCAATGCTATGACTCGAAGCCAAGAATTCCACAACGAACACTGGACTATAGACAACGCAGCAGCAAGCCTGCGCAAGTGATATCCAAGTCATGCTGGTCCCTAAAATAATAGTAGGTAATATAATAGCTACAATAATATGCAAAAAGCATCCCACAGACTGCCCCGACCTGAGTGCTATAGTTTACCCCTGCAAGCACAAGCAATCGTTTGTAAAGTTGGTGGCACCTATTGAGTTCAGCAAAAAGTCCGCGATATTCCAATTGCCATACTCCTAAGTATGTAAAGACGGCCTATCCGTCCATTCATTGATGTCTCAATCATCGAGGACGGATCGAAGATTCAGCTTGAAGCCATGCAGCCTCTCAATGCGACTCTGCACCATGTCAATCATCTGATGGCAGGCGGGCCTCAGTCGCCAAAATTTATTCCCAGTCTTCTTGAACAAGTTCAGACATTCCAAGAGCACCTCGTCCCAAGGGTCATGTTGGGACAGCCACTCCGCAACGTGGGCAACAAATTTCTCGAGACGTTCACCCAGTGGGGTTGTGCAGGGAGAAGAGCCTTGTGTGGTCACTGTGGTGGCTGAAGGTTGTTCGCGTTCAAATGCGGCAAACCCTTCCAACAATGACTTCACTTCATCCACACCAACACCACGTTCACCGCTTAAGGGGATTCGCGTGCTCAGTGATGTCTCATCCTCCGCATCAGTGGTGCACGAATTTAACTTGCATGCGCTGCCCGGCGCACGTGCTGCCGTTGCCTCCGCACCATCAGCAGCGCCATTGGAGGCATCACAGAAGGGCGGCACTCGAGCATTCCCCTCCACCAGGAACCCGTTGCGCGTCTTTGGCAGGCCTTCCACAACCTCCTGCCGAAGAGTCGCCGGCAGCTCTGCCAAAATAATCGGATCCACCTGAGTGAGCGTCATGCTCCCCGTCTTCGTCAACCCGCACTTTCGATCCTCGTTGATCAGCTTGTTCCATATGCCCTCGTCCAGTCGCATTTTTTTGGGCGCTTTGTTCCTTTGCAGACCCCCCGTTCCTCTGCCCCTCCTGCCCCGTCCCCGCTTCCTCCTCACAGGGCTGCGACCAGCACGGCTGACTGTGTATGCATTCTCAATCTCCCGTTTAACTACTAGGGGAAGCGCGTCCAACACAGCCTCGTCCAGCTGGGATGCCGGGGGCAGTGCGTTTACGCCACCACTGCTGGCGGTGAGATTGGTGCGCTCAGCGCCACATCCCTTGCTACCGCTGCCCACCAAATCGGCTGGTTTGTCGCCGCTTGTCATGTCACACACATCCCGGGATCCTGTGCAACGGCCCCAGTTTGCTTCTGCTGGGCGCACATTTGCTTCTCCATCACCCTGGTTCACCTGTGCTGCTGAAGCAGCCCGCCCAGAATTCTCCGCTCCGATATTCGCCTGCTGCGAAGCCCCATGGTCAGAGTCGCAACCAGTTTCTACGTCAACTGCAACAGGATCAACGGCAGTGCCATTTTCCCTGAGACCTTCATGAGCTGCATCGCTCGCTGCACATCCCAAACTGTCTTCAATGGACGCCCTCAGTTTCCATAGCTTACACACATCATAGACGTTTTCTGGAATAGGACCATGCACCGCTGGATGCCCTCCTTTCATCTCGCCTTTAGCTTCACTTTTTGATGCCCCACAAGTCTTGGATTCAGGACTATCCACGGTTGGCACTGACCTTCGTCCGTTGGCTTCCTTCCTCGCCTGAACGTCGAATTTCATCCAAGGGTGTGGCTTCTTGGTATCAAAGGCGTAATTGGGCATTGGGGCTTCTGCCTTTGAGGGAGCAGGTGCTGATGGGCGGGCATGAATTGATGACGCGTCGGTGTCCAGCTTCGACAGCTACAGAAACGTCATCCCGCATAATCAGAGCTTCAAAGTGATCCAAGCAGCACTCTTGCAAGATGCTGGTCCATATGTTGATACACAGAACGGTTGCGCATCTTTGAGAAGCTTTGTTTGAACTTCTCTTGGTCTCCAGAAATTCTGTGTTTGTCTGTTTCAGGCGTTCTTGCAAGGGCTGTTGCCTTTTCCAGGCGACAACGTCACGCACATGGCCTCTGCCAACGACCCTGGCTCGTCATGCAATTGACACAGGCAGTAGCGATTGTACCAATTTCACTAAAGTAGGGCTCGAAGCTGTCCATGTGGCAAGAACCTGTTCCACAAGTAGCTGCCATGGTGCATCTGGTGAGGATGGACATAGTGCTGCTGTCTGCATGCTGTAACAGCACCTCAGATCGTATGCCATTCTCTTCTTTAATGTCTCACTGACTAGAAGAAACAAGGTGAACAGAGCAGCACTGAGCTTACCGTTATGCCAATGCCCCGGATCTCTTGCGGTGGCACTCGCAGTGCCTTCAGCAGTGTGAGAGCGCGTTCAAAAATATCTTGATGCTCATCGAAGAAGTCGCCAGCTGTGAGGCTCCGGCTCAGATTGTCACAAATGCCATGGCCAAGAAACTTTCCAGGTTCAGGTGCCCCAACACGACGCCGTTTCATCTACAGCAGTAACACAATCATTCACTTGGGCATCGGATGCTAAAGACAGCAATCTGCAGCCACAATCTGGGCGTGGGTGTGCTGCAGAGGCAATTGTCCTGCGCTCGCTAGTATCCCTTTCATCCTGCTTGCACAAGAGGTCCCACCAATGTAGGGCAACTGTATGTCCATTAAGCAACCTAACTAGAATAAGCTGGAGTTGAAGTCATGACGCAGTTGTCCACAACTGAGACAAGAGTCGTGCCCAGCGACGTGGAATCGTGCAAATCCATTGGGCAAATGGGAACAACACAACAGTGCTGTTATCTGTGTTCCACAGATTGCATACATCACAAGGTGGGACACACTCTGAGGAGTTCAGCATGCACCTTGAGGGTTATGCAGCGCCCACGAACACCTGCTTGCTTGAGACGATCGCTAACCTCCCGCGCCATCTGTTTGAGGAAAGTCTCTGCAGCACTGAAATCTGAGAAACGTATGCCCCAGCTGCATTCAGCACCGATGGACTTGCGACCCTGCAAGGATGAGAACAGCCAACCACAACATGGTGTTCAAAGGCAGACAGGAGCAGGAGAAGCAACACTGCACAGGATCTGCAGTGAACAGTGCCGAGCTGGTCAGGCAACATGCATTCAGGTATGGTGCAAATTCATGCTGCAGCCCTTAGTCAACCTTGCTTCAAGGTCGAAGCATAGTCGCTGGGGCTTTCCATGACATAATGTTGCCAATTTGACTTTCAAATCACTGTGTGTTTGCAGCGTGGGATCTAGTTTGAAGATTTGTTGTCCCACTGTGCCTACATGTCCGAAGTCCATTTGTCCAAAACACCAAAAACAAGACCCTTGCATCAGGGGAGGTGAGACAGGCACAGCATCAACCAAGCTATGTTAGCTCGTGTTCCACTGCGACCACTAGAACCAAATCCTTCCCAACTTGAACCATGTAAAAATGGCACATCTTGTGTAGTTTGACAAAGGTGAATCCTCGATCACTGTTTAGAGCACCCTCCACACCAGAAAAGCTGGGCCATTTCTTTGATGGGACTCAACCAGGAGATAAGAGAAACTGAGGCAAACAGTTGCCAAGGGTACATACGACGAGAAACACGAGAAACATGGCATACATGTAACAGCAAGAAACGGTGAAGGATACGCATGTGGCTTACGTAGTTCCAGAGGTTACCAACAATTGAGCTTCAAATTTCAGTCCCAGGCTAGTGGACAACTCTCTTGCAAGCCATTTTGTGCCAACCAGAAGCACTACCACTGGAGTGATGCAATTGCATGCAGTTCAAGTTTATTGCAAATAGTTGCAAATACACTGCAACTGGCGTTCATGATGTGCAGGTCACTGATGATAAAACAACAAAGGAAGCCACAAACACCTGGCATCGGCTGGTGGCCCAACAACAATTGCAGTAAGCGTAACTCGTCTGTGCCCTGCACTTCAGATTTGGCCCCCCCTGGACAAAAGGTATACCTGGGGTGGGGTGACTTCTCTAGGATCGATGCCATGTGCATAATCCCACACCATGCTGCCAGTTTTCTGTCCAAGCTTCTGCTGCAAAACAGGTTTGGACAAGGACCAAACCTGGCAGATTTCCTCAACACCCATAGCTGCCAGCCGCTTCTGAAGGGACCAGCCAACACCTTTGAAGCACATGAAATCAAACTCAAAAACAGATAAGTGGGAGACAAATAGTTAGTTGACGTGCTTGCACACTGAAGTGCTGCCTTCGAACAGAGTTTTCTGTTGGGAATATTACCACTAGATCAGTTACTCAACAGGATTTTCGTGAAGAATCCAGCACTGATGAACTGCCAATATCCAGAAGTTTGTTATTGCTTTTAACCACCTCACCTGGGATGTCGGAGACAGACTTTCCAGCCAGGAACTGCATCGCATCCTTTTGTGCAACCCTGAGCTGTCCATTAGGTTTTGCTAACTTGGTGGCCAAACGCGCCAGCAACAGATTGGGTCCTATTCCGGAACTTGCTCTGCAGCCAGTCTCGAGTTCGATGGATGCCCGAAGCCTTTGGGCGATGTCTTCAGGGTCTCCTAGGCCCGTGATATCCAGGTAAGCCTCGTCACAGGAGATGGGCTGCACACAGGCTGTGTGTTGCAGGCAGAGTCGGTACACCTGCCAAGCAATGTCTGGCAGAGTAAGCACACTAGAACAGGAAGCAGCAAATACAGCAGTGGCCTCACCTGCTAAGCTCTGTACCACACATGTGGGAATTAACCAAACCAACCCCTCAAAGGGACACAAAGGGAACCCAATGGCACAGCCCAAATGGCAAATTTTCACAAAGTGTGCTGAGGTCTATGCAACAGCAGAATCCCTGTATTTTGAAACTCAATCTGCTGTCATACAACAAGACTCCTGCAACAAGGGGGACATTCTTTGAACCATTCTGGCTCTGGCACCGATTAGTGAACAGGACTCTACAGGAACAGGGCAGTTCCAAGCATATAATAACTGTTGGCAAGAAGCCAATGCTTTCATTGCTCTTCTCTGTCCCGATCTACTTTAGATCTTTGCATGTTTAACGTCAAAATGGCTGCTACAGCCACCTTTCCACAAGAAACAACAGCCACCCAGATGTAAATCAGATGCATGAGGCGATAGACAATCTTTCATAGGTGGTGAACATACAGTTCACTGTATCAGCATCCAGCAGACAGCCTGCACTCCTGCAGGCACCAAGAGTCACAGAGGTGCTTGTGCTACAGATGCTGCGAATTGTATACTTGGGGCTCTGCTCCTTAGTGCCTGAGGGCATTGCTTCTGCACCCAAAGGGTAGATAAAGACAACAAAGGCACCTCCACACCTGTGGATTACAACTTCAGGGACAAGGGGCTCCACAGGAAGGAAAAGAAGGGAGAAGCTTATAATCACAAAGTGACAATCCAATGCTGCACACCTTCTCTGAGATGCTCTGATACTTCTCAAATTCGTATGGCACAACGATGAGCTCTGGACAAAGCTCTTTGGCCTTTGCAATGAACGTGCCAGCTTGTATCCCAAATGCACGTGCCTCATAGTTTGCAGCTGACACCTCTGCTGTGCCTTTTGAGCTGTTGGAGTGGCACACGGCCAATGGTTTCCCTTGCAATTCTGGGTTGCCCACAGCAGCAGCTGATGCAAAAAAACAGTCCATATCCAGGTGAATTATCGACCTTTCTGGAGACCCACCTGCAACAACCCACCCACAACAACCTAGGTGCGCAGGAAATGCTGACAATAGTGGCCCACAAATGACCTGTGATGATGACGAGTAGTGAAAAGGAGGCAGTGACTATCTTGAATGAGCAGGAAGTGGCAAGAGCAAATGCAATGGATTGCACTTTAGGCAATATTCCTAAACCCCATGGCCATCGTTGAGACAGTTACAAAACAACTACCAGCAGTAGTATACAACGGTACACGTAGTACTAGTATACGGCACAACACGCAGGAGCCAACAACAGTTCCCACTCGCTTGATGCTCCAGCCACACCTTCACGTTTTGATTTGCCCTTTGAAGGCATCGGCGCTGTGCTCACAAGCTGAGCAGCCAGTGTCTCTATTCTGTTTCGCCAGGTCCCTATGAAATGCAGCCGTGACGAGTTGAAGAACGTTTCCATGAACTGGGGTCCAGCTCTTGACGATTGCACAGGGCCCTTTAGGAGATCACAGGCAGCACGCTTGGCTGCTGCAATCTCCTGCGCCCGCTGCAAGCTGGAATCGTTTCCAGGCTCTAGGCATGCCTTACTCTCACTGGGCAACTGCAAACATGGCCCTGCGGAAGGGAAATCCGACATGTGCTCCTCCTCCTGGTCATCAAGGTCATGGGTGTCAGAACTGGCTTGCGTCCCCAGTCCCTGCTCATTTTCCATGTTTGTGTCGCTTGTGGCTGCAGGTTTCGTTGCATCGTTCCCTGGGATAGCAAGCAATTCAGCACCCTCCAGGATCACACCATCATTCACTCCTTCTCCCAAGTCCAAGCCTTGGCCCAACTCTTGTCCAGGATTCACCTCCCGTGAATCGTGAAACGTGTCTGCACATCCTCCAATTGTTCCCCATCCTGCTTGTGGCGCTGGTGCAGAAACTGGCACCTCATCGCGCTGCACAGGAGTCAGACTGCGATCTATTGGCTCCATCCTTGCATCAGGATGCAAACATCCATGATGCTCATCCTCAGCACAAGGATGCGATTCCCTGCAGGTGTCATGCCCTGGCACACCATGAATATGGATGCAAGGTTCCACAGGTTGCCTGTGCTGCTGGCATGGCTGCTGCCTTTTCAAGACAGGATACACTTCATTAGCCTGCAATGTGGGGGCATGGTGAACACTGAAGTTCTTCAACAGTCTTTGGCGTGGATCGTCAAGCCGCTCTAGCCGAAAATCAGTTATCTGCAGCATTGCCATAGCAACATGTGTCAGCTGGTCGGTCGCATCTGGAAGCATAGCTCAAAGGAATTCTCAACATAATTACGGCCAGCAAACTGGCCCTGAGTGCAAGCCCTCTGGGTACCATAGTGCAAATATTCTTGTACCCTTTGTCGCAGTCTTGTGTCTTGGGACCCCAAGGCAAAACACTGTTTCCCCAAGGAGCTAGAATGAACTGAGCATCATCACATTCTTCCATTAGCAACGTGAAGACATGTGGAGGCTCATCAGCTCTTCATTCAGAACTGTCCACTATCGCATGTCTTGCATAAGCTCATCAGTACATCGATCAGACATTTCCACATATTTCAGGGAACACGCAGACCCATCAGCATACCAATCAGAATGTCCACCAATTTCATGTGTGCTTACTGGAAGAACAGTCCCTGCATTGATGGAAGAAGTGATCCACTCTGGTCTCACAAATGGAACAGGGTCCCTCTGCAACCTGAATTGCTTGATCTTTGTGTCAGGCAAGTTGCTGCACACAATGTGTGTGACCCGGGACCTGCTGTAGTAATTTTCGAAGCCCCCGCCATGAATGGCCATCAGTTGTTTGAGTTCCTGTACAGTGCAGGCATGAAAGACTTCCAAATTATGGCTGCAACTCATGCACCCTGTGCTCCATGCCATGTAAACGTGATGAAAACAGTGGTCATTTTGCTGAAATTCTGGCTCTTCAGTACTTTTGTTTCAAGGCTCAGTGTATGCTGACTATCAATAAGTCTAGGATTCCAAAAATACTAGATGGATGCACTTTTCTGTGCAGCGATGGTATGCAACAACAGGGACGAAAATGTGACCTTGCAGTTCCTATAACACTAACACGTCACCTTAGCTGGAGCTGCTGTTTGCACTCTTGAAAATAATGGTTGTGGCATGAACACACAAAACATCAACAAAATTTGCTGCAGAAAGCTACAGCGATTAGGAGAATGAATGAATGTAACCTTGGCGGCAGTATGATAGTACGAAAATTGGTCCTGTAAAGTGCCTTTACTGAAATCAAATTGTTACCCACGGCCTTACACTGCTCGAGGTAAAACACCCCAACAGGTATTAAGTGCAACCGGTTGCCAGGGTGCTGCTTCACCCATTCTCGTTCAGTGAGTCCTGTTGTAGCTGACGTCAAATTGAAGCACCAGAGGCAAATCTCTGCTGTGCTGTATTGCTTGGCCAAATCATTTCTGTTTCTTGCGTTTCACCGCGACGATTGTTTCCGCTAGAGCTGGAGTAAGTCTTGATGCAGCTTTCGGCCGTCATATCCTTCGGTCTCAACGCGCGCAGAGTGCGGGACATGCCATCCGTACCTGATGGGAGGGCACCGTGAAGCCGTTCACGTGGATGGTGACCCCACTGAAAAGATTGCTCCCCACACCCCCGCTGCGGCCGGCGTTATTTTCATGGAACTGCTGGCGGAGTTTCGCGTTCTTGTGCCGCATGTAGTTGCCGAAGTTCCCCCCGTGGCCTTCCTCCGCCACCGAATCGTCCGCCTGCCGCAGAAACTTCCATCGGACATCACTGTCCATCGAACCCCCCTTCAGGGCCACAGCCGCTGACCTCCCGCCGGCAGCCGCGCCAAGAGACCCTCCAGACGCCCTGGCCCGGCCCCCCGGTCGCCATGAACCAAAATTGGCGCGTTCAGGCCGACGAGCGATGCTGTGTGTGCGTGTGTGTGTTTTTTTATTCTCCTTTTTTTAGGGTTTATTTTTCGCAGCATCTTCTTTTTTTGGGTTTTGTGGGTGCTGTGGCTTGCCTGTGCCTCGTGCATATTTCCTTGGTGCACCCAAGTTGGCCGCACCCAGGAAATGCGCACGCAGCAACCGTCCGTGCGGTTAGGTTAGCGTGACCAACGGGCGGTTTTTCTGCGTCACTGGGGGGCGTAACGCGATGCCTGGGCCATGGGGCCCTCACGAAGCACCTACAACCGCGTGACCGCGCGCCTGCAAGGACCCAAAAGCGATGACGCCAGCCCGCCCCATGGACAACCGCACGGCGCGGGGCGCGCCGACCAAACCTGCACAGGCCGCGGCTGGGCGCTACCTTTCCGTTCCGCATCCTTTTCGAGGACAGAGTCGGGAGCCGTCCCTCGCGCGCCGCGCCGTGATGGCCGGGGAGGAGAAGGCCGTCGAGTCGGTCAGGAGCGCGGAAGAGCTCGCGCAGGACTCGATCGCGTGGGCGACGCAGCACGGCCTGGTGGGTTCCGGGGGCGTGCGAGCGGCTGTCGACAATGGCTCACTTGATCGTCGACGGTTTGTGCCTTTGCGCGGATCCTGGCCTGGAACCAGCGTCTTCCCGGATTGAAATTGCCTAGCGCTGCCGATTGTTTCCTCGCCGGCATCGGGGGCGATCTTTCTCCTGCGTCACCGAATCCTGGCTATGTCAAGCAGTTGCAATGTCCACTTAGAATTGGCGTCCAGCGACTTTCGAGCGAAGAAATTAGAGGGGCATTGCAGCGATAAGGGCCATCCAACAACAAGCTAGAACATTCTGGAGGCTTGCCGAAGGGATGCATTAACACTGCAGATCTAACTTCCCGCGGTCCTACGCCAGTTTTCATTTGCGCAATTTTGCTGATTTTCAGACTTCCACTCGCTGGATGTCCATGTGCTTGCAGGTCATGCGCCTTGGAGGTGACTCACCACAGGCTGCTGTTATCCATGCGCCCATGACTCTGCTCCCAACTCCGTTTCCGAAAGAGCCATTTGTGCAGGTACATCTGAATTTGCCCAAGTAGGACTGCTGGATGGTCTGACACAGTGACATTGGTACACAGTGTTTTCCTCTCTTTTTTGGAGAACGGATTGTTCTCAGTGTTGGCATTCCAACTTCTGACTGTACCTAATTGCTTCATGCAGTGCAACTGTTGTGCTGGTGCCACAGGATTGCTGTACACCTTGAGAATGGTCCATTGCTGCCATGTGCAGTTGCAGAATCCCACCCTGAGCACACTTCTTTGATCTTGGCAGTGTTTTTCGATCACCCGACAATGCAATCAATGCAGGAGTCATCCCTCCCCAGCAACAAACACGAAATTGACATGCAAAAGTTGGGTGAGCACTGGCTAAGGTTCGGTGCTGTCCATCCTGGACAGCATTTAACGCAACAATCCATGCTTAGACACTGAGAATCGCTTCAGTGCACTCATGTGATTCCGCTGCCATGAAGTGTTCCCACTGTTCCTGTTACCAGGCTGTGGAGGTCATGCCCATCCTCAACAGGCTTGTGGATGCCGTGAGTCGTGATTCCGCTTTCCTCAAATCTGTGCTGTCATCTGCTGCCCAATATGACGACTTTACTGCCAACCTGTTAGAGTTGAACGACGCGACTATGGCCAGCTCAAGACAAACCGATAGCTCAGAGGTGGTCGTTGGTGTGCATCGGTCTGACTACATGCTGGACGAGCCATCAGGAAAGCTGTTACAGGTTGCACCTCCTGTCTACCTCCTGCCTGCCGCGAACTTGTCCCTGGCAACCCCATGTCCATGAACATCTGTTGTGAGTGCATTTGTCAAAAGCTTCACAAGGTCTGCACTTTTCGTTGGAAGCGATCACAGGAACTGTGCACGTGCCAGCATACAAATGCATGTCCTTTCTTGGTCTTGGAATAATCCCCCTTGTGCTCAGAGTGTTGTGGTTTCTGTGCAATGTTGTGTGCATAGAAATCCACTGTTACAATTAAGCACCTCCGATCGAGATGATAATCGTGCACTGCAGATATTTGCACCTGTTGCCATAGCACCCCTTTTGCAGCTATGTTATGGCAAAACTGGGTTCCTCACACAGCCGCTCCCAGGCACGGGGAGCAAAACCATAACTGGATACATTACAGGACAAGCACACCAATCAAATAGTACTCACTGTGAATGTTCTCAATTAGTAACCACCGCATTCTCTCCATGTTCATTTCACCCTGCGTTAGCACCATGTCCCCTGTGCTCAGCCACACCATGTTCAGCACCATTCCCCCTGTATCTACATGCTTGATTTCTTTGCCCTCACATCAATCATGGTGGATGCAAACAATGCACTCTGGCCTGCTGTTGAAGTTCACATTGTCGATTACCACCTATGCACCTGCCATGTTGTCTCTATGCTTCAATGTGAGAACAGCTGGAGGATTAGAAGTGTTGTTCCCTCCGGTAAGAACATGTGATCATATCGTTGTTGCCATCTTCATATACAGGTGGAGTTGAACACCATTGCCTCATCATTTGGGTCATTGGGCTCGATTGTTAGCCAGCTCCATGCACACAACACAGCCCAACAGGCTGGAATGGTGAGTGGTTGACATTCGTTGTATGTGGATGGATGTGTTGCAACAGCTAACAACAACATAAACACTGCTTGTTGTCAACTGCACTGGGCATTGCTCGTGTCACTGTGCATACTTTTCATATCACTCTTCCCTATCCACTGGAGAAGAGCACACACCATACATTGCTGACACCAGCCCTGTCCTTCAACCCTGTAGACCTGGCTTTCTGTGCTGTGGAACCTCAGAGCGATTCAACCTCATTGCTCAAGAGGCTGGGCAGGGCACAAGTGCATTGTTTGCAGCAAGTCGGAATACCCACCAGTGCTGTTGCTTGCTGAAGCATAAACCGAGCGGCAATGATCCAGCCAGGATCTGTGCTCCTTCTTTTAATACTGTTCCTGATTCTTGGTTTTGGATATCCATCCATTCTGGGAATCCGCCAATAATGGACACTAGGTCTATTTGCAATTTCCCCAGGTACACAAATTCTGCAAATTTAGTTTAAGTCCTTGGCATGTTGTTTGTTGGAATGTGGACCGTGCTGGGGTCTGCTTGGAGGTCCATGTCCAGCCTCCTTTGGTACACACCCACTCACCAGTTTTCATGATGAATGTGGCAGGAAGTATGCATATAGAATTTATGGCCGTATTGTCTGTGACACTGCCCGAATCTGCCATTTCAGTTTGTGTCCTTCTTTCATGGCCCTTCTTGCATGTGTTGAGAATACTCAGGAAAATTGAGCAGGCAGATATGTTGACATGACATGCAATAAATTAGCTGGGATTGTGTTCAAGAGGTGAATTGTACCAAGTAGATGTGTTGAAGCTTGCAGTGTGCTGGCCATCGCCATCTCATTGGCTTGGTGGAAGTATCTATTAGCATATTCACCAATATACATTGCCCACAGTGTTCATGCACACTGTCAATCTACATGTTAACCATCTGTGCTCATTGGCTGGCCGGTGTGTTTCCAGGGTCCAGATGGGGTACCCGCCAATGCAGCTCTTGCGGAATGTGTTATAGCGCTTGCCACAGCCTACAATGCAGTGGATCTTGAGCACAGCGTGGTTCTCATGGTTGTCGAGTCTGATGAGCAGAATTATTACGACCAACAGGTGAGGCCAAGTTGACTCCACTTTTGTGGCACTATGATCAAATTTGTGGCAACTGCAACATATTTTTGGCTCACAGCATATGTCTTTATGGTGTGCAGTGGATCGCCAGCCAGTTGTGGGATGTCTACAGCATCCGGACCGTCCGTAAAACGCTGGCAGACATTGCCAGTGAAGGGAATCTGGACGACTCGGGGAACTTAAGGTTCGATGCATTCTTTCATGACATTTCCTTGTTGATTGTGTGAAACATGCAGGAACATCTTGAATTTCTGACACATTGCAACTGGTTTGCACATGCCATATGCTGCAGACCAGTGTGGTTGTTTCATTTCCCCTGTTGTTTGCATTCAATAGCTCATGCTAACCATCTTAGTTTCGCATACACAGCTGTGTGGATTGCCCTTATCCATCATCCTATTGATCCTGTCCGATGCAGTCAATCATTGTGGTTACTGTCAGGTTTGCCTCCACCTTGTGCTGCCATTTGGCTGTGCACAGCTATCTGCTCTGCAAGTTCCCAATGCCATTGCAGCCAACAGGAACCTGGCCATGTTCTGAAGCACGACAACTTGAGAGTTACCAACTCAGATAATTGGAACGAACCAACCCGTGCATTTAGTCAAGATTTATGAGCTTCTAAGGCCACCTCAGATTTCTGAATCTTTGTTCTTTGAGATTTTGCACTCCTGTTCATGCAATCAGTCTTGTGGGATTCGTGTCACTTTGCACTTTTGTGTGAGGTGGTACAATGCCAAAACTCATCGGTTAAGATGGCAGCGACAGATGTGAATTTGATGTTGATACTACGGAACAAGCAAAGGGTAGGAGTGCATTGGATGCTTTGTTAAACAGCGATCCGACATATTCGCAAGCCGAGAATTCACATTGGGACCTTTCTGCCCTGGTCTCCTTCTGTACACTAACAAGCTGCTACGCTTGCTACTGAATGTGGCAGGTGTGGCGATCATTGTGTTGCAGTTGCTTATTTCCGGTCTGGCTACTCACCAGACCACTACCCAACCAGTCGGCAATGGGATGGCAGACGTCTCATTGAGTCCAGCACAGCAGCTAAGTGCCCAACAGTAGCATACCACCTTGCAGGTACCAAAAAAGTCCAACAGCAGCTGGCCAGACCAGGTGAGTCAGGAGCCTCTGTCAATAGTGTGAACAGTTGGGGACTGTCAATGTTGCATGGAAGGAAGGGTGGGATGGCTCATGTGGAGAAGGACTGCTTAGCTGCCCAAGTCAATATTCACCACTGTTTGTTCAGGCAAGCCATCAAAGGGCTAAGAAAGGAAGCCACAAGTTGCACACTGGAGGGCATCATTGCCATTGTATATGTGGAGTGCCTTGCAGTTTGGATAACATTTGTGTGAGGCTCAGCGACATGATCTCTTGAAGTGGATGCAAGATGAGCGTCTTTTCCACTCAGCAATGGAGAGCAGTGCCATATGCACAGGACTTGTCTCAGAGAGGTCCAGCCCTGCAGAACGTTGAAGGTTGCCACCGCTGCTGATGTTGTAGAAGTTTCTATATTGTGTGTAGAGAAGATGCCGTCACTGGTGGCCATTGAATTTCATAGCTGCTTTTGCATGCTGTGCCAGGTGTATTGGAACAATTCTTGGAGGAAGAAGATGCTTTCCACGTCAGAAAATTCTTTGCTGGATTGTGGGGTCTGGAGGATTTATCAGATCCAGAAACCCAGCGGACAGTGCAGGAGGCCATAAGTCATCCTGAGAAATTTGTCTTGAAGCCCCAGAGAGAAGGCGGAGGGAACAACCTTTATGGTGTGTTGTAGTCACTGGACGTTCATTGAAGCTACAGGCGATGGGCATTTGCTACCAATTGCTCATAGCAGCATCTCTCCTCTTTGCATTTCGTCTGAAAATAACTTCAGCTTTCATTCTAAAATACCCATAGAGCTTAGTACAAGCATATATTCATGATATGAATAACTGGTATGAATTTCAGAACTGATGTGGATTCCATCAGTTGGAGCTTATTCAAATCCCATTGCTGAGCCCCGCAATCCGAAACACAGTGCCATGGCCTTCCTCCACCACCAGCCACAGTCACTGGCCTGCGGATGTGCAGTGCAGCACTGTTAACGGACGACAGCAGGTACTCCCTTTCGGCGCATTGTTGTGACTTATGTATCGAGTTTTTGTCCGGGGCCTTGTGGCTTTTGAAGAGAGGGGCAGAGTGCATTGTGAACGCTCAAGCGAGTTGTGCAATGCAGTGGAACGGGTCGCTCGGCCAACCTATCTTTTGCACTTTGTGAAATGTTGGCGGTGCACAACTCGCTCACGGTATTGTTTTGTGCATGTGTCCCAAAGGCGTCCGAAAAGAAGGCACTTGGTGGGAAACAGACACACATACAAAACTTGTTTGGAACACATAATTGTCCCAAAAAACTGACGAGTAGCTATGTAGCTATGTGGGTGCACTGCCAGGTGTGTTTGTCCCAAATGAGGTCAATGCTGAACCCCAAATGCATGCTTACCAGTGCAATCATTCTGAAATGGCAAATGGACAGCAACATGTACTGGCAAACACATGAAATGCGTGGAATATTGAAAGAAGACAAGTCATATGCTGGGAGTGTTCTAAATTGCAGCTTGATTCTATAATACAACCATACAGCACCGCATGGAAATGCACGACCCAAGTTTGACTTCGTATACCATTAGTGGTAATCTTGCAACACGCTTTGCCAAGTGCTATGTGTAGCATTTTTCCCTCTTCATGCACCCACGACAGGTTCTGTCAGAACCCCATTAGCTGGACTGTGCTTTTGCCTCGTGCTCAATTAGGTGCAGATGCTGCGCGGGTGTTGTCAAGAAACAAGGATTTGGCAGCGTACATTCTGATGCAGCGAATTCAGCCGCCTGTCAACTCT